AATGAATGTAATTGCCTGCATGCCTCAGCTGGGGATTTAGTGTCAGCAGGCTGGAGAATCTGAATAATTGCGTCACACATTATTTTTCTGTTGTATGATCTAGTCTTATATTTTAATACAAACCTGAGTTTCAAGATCTCTATCTCAGATGGGTGTTAGTATAGGTGGGAAATAGCTCCAGAGTCAGTAGGGCAACAACCAGCCTGTCTGATAATGTCTTTCAGCCTACGCTACCAGCACTAAATTACTGATAGCCACTGTTTTTGGACAGTCTGTGGTGTTAGCGTTTAGAAACTCAGGTTTTCCGCCGACACCACCGAGGTGGCGTCCTGAGTCTGCCACTTGCTCTCTGTGTGACTTTGAACAAGATACTTCGATTCTCTTTACCTTGACTTCCTTGTCTGTAAAATGGGAATAATAATGATTGTAACTGTTAAATTAGATCATAAAGTGATTAAAATATCATCTAGTATGTGGTGAACTCTCACCAAGTCTTAGTTACGATAATGACCCCAGGAGTTGCTCACTAACCTGGGGGAAATACTGACTTTTAATCGCTTATGAATGTGTCGGAGCAGAGTCAAAATCTTGGTAAAATAAACTTCTCTCGGCAGAGCTTATCACTTGAGGAGGATCTAACATCATTGGCTGGTAACCCCTCGTCCCTAAGCATTTTCTTTGTTCCCCGATAGTCCGATAGTCCGCGTGAACTGTCCCCTCTTTGCCGGGGTTCCCGGAGCTGCATTTGCAGGCCCACAACCTCTCCTCCGACTCGGCGGGGCAGGGCCGCCGCGCTCCCCGCTGCAGACCCCTCTCCCCGGGGCTCCAGGGGTTGGTTAATAATGTTTCCTTCATCTGCCCATCGCCCACTCTGCTGTCCTCTGCCCTGCCTTCCCACCCCCCAAGTCATAAACTGAGGTGCTCAGGAACTGTTGAAGGAATAAGAACTATCGTCTCCTCTCTAGAGACCGAAATGTAAAAGTCTCCCATTTTCCGGGCTCTGCACCTTTGGAAGCAGGGTGGTTTCTTCTTTCTGATCTGTCTCCTCATCTCCGCTTCAAACACCGGGAAACAAAAACTAACCCACATAAGCTGTTGCTGGGATGGCTTGGGTGACTGCGTCAGGTCCTGTTGGACGCGCACGGCTAGCTGATCTGGGCCGTGAGATACCCGACAGCAGGCAGCTTCCCCGCGCAGGGCCCCCTCGCTGTGCCGGGCCCCCCGCCAGCTCCGAGGAGAAAGGCGGTGCGGACTCCTGCAGAGCCGGACGACCCAGGAGCGCCATCTCGTGGGCGCCCCGATTGCTGCCTCCGAGAAGGAGCCGGTGTTCTTCCCCCCCCCCCCCGCCCCCCCGGAGGATTCTCATTTCTCATTTCAGGGCCTGGGGAAATGCGACCAAAAATTAGATTCCAGATAATTTAAAAATGGCTGTCAGGCAGACTTATTATGAATAATCTACCTCTGGATTTAAATAGGGCAAGTGCCTTTTAGCTGCTCCAGATTTCTATTGAAGTAGTAGCTACTACGTTTTGAATAGGGACTTTCAAACGGCCAATTCTGCATTTTACATGCATTGGTAAAAAGAAAATTTTGCATTCTACGTAGTACATCAGAGGATTCAGAATTTTTTTTTTTAGTCAGTTTTTGAGGAGTTGTTTTTTGCATGAATTTAAAAAAATAAACAATGGCAAAGTCTTGCTACTGAAAGTGTAATTAGCATCGCCCAGGAGCTCATTAGAAAAGTATCTCTGTTCCAGATCTACCACATTAGAATCTGTGGTAAGGGGCGCCTGGGTGGCTCAGTTGGTTGAGCATCTGCCTTTGGCTCAGGTCATGATCTCAGGGTCCTGGGATCGAGCCCTACGTGGGGCTCTCTGCTCAACAGGGAGTCTGCTTCTCCCTCTCACTCTCTTTCTGTGCTTTCTCTCTCTCTCTCAAGTAAATAAAATCTTTAAAAAAAGAAAATGCACTGATTCATGGGCATACTATCAGACAGGAGTGCAGGTTACCAGAGTCAAATGGACGACCTGTGTTTTTGTCCGCTCGGTGGTACCTCCTTCCTTATGATCACATTCTTTCAGCCTCAGTGGCCCATGTGTGACCCAAGATCATAGGTTCCTGCCTTGTCTGCTCCTGGATCAGCCAAGGGACAACTGAAATCATGCACAGCATGTCACTCTGAACATGAGAAAAACCTGTGCAGGTGTCAGGGAAACTATGCGTGAGAATTCTTACACTTCGTACTCAGCCATCATTGGGTAATGTGCTTTACCTCAGCTACATCATCAGCAGAGCAAATGCTCACCTGTAACTTTCATCATGCCTCAAATACTGTCTGGTCAGATTCCACCGAGTTTTCAAAGGTCTCTCTCAGGCTAGTCTTTCCAGAGCTCAGAATAATAAAATGACGTTTTATTTTCCTTAACAAGACCTTTGACACATCTTGCTTTCCTGGGGTCTCAGAACTGTTTCCCCTGTTGAGCCCAGGATGGGGCACAGTAGGTACTCAATGGAGCTTGTTGATGAAACTGCTAATTATCCCTCAGCAAGGTCCAAACACTGGCCTGATGTCCTTCACACTAAACCACTTATCATCAGATGATGGGCATCATTAGAGACTGACACAGTTACAGGAGGACTCTATCATCTCACCAATAAATACCAATATTCATTAAGGAAACAGACTCCTGATGGCTGAGAAATCCTTTGGTAGTGCTCAGGGATTGAAGTTAGTGAGGTTATTAGCTGTTTACAAATATTCCCTTCACCTTGAAATGGGGGAGGGGTTGGACAAATAAAACAGTAAGAAGATATTACTCTCTTTTCCTTGCATACGTTTTAAAAAAGATTTTATTTATTTATTTGAGAGAGCGCATGAGCAGGGGTTAGGGGTAGAGGGAGAAGCAGACTCTCCGCCTGCTGTTCCAAAGAAATGGTACTGATTGTCAAGCAGTAAAAGCGAAATATTGAGAAAAATTTGTTACACAGTTCTCCACCCAACTGAGTTACAAGAATATCCAAGTCAAATTAGGGCAGACTGTCGCATTGTCTGCAATTTGTGAAATTATGGACCTTTTTGCCCCTAATTTACTAAAATAGGAAATGTGTGCTGTTTTTTTTTTTACTGGATTCATTCTAATTAGCAATATTTTCTCTAATCATTTAAAGGAATTCAGAATGTCAGTGCTTCAAAATTATTTTCCTTAAAGTTAAGATGTAGTTACAAGGCGTCACTTTATGTAGGAGGGAAAATACACGTTCACGCCTGCACATAGAAAGATAGTCTATCGGAGTAAGGACCTTGAAAGCAGGACTTAGCAGCATACAGTTCATCTCTGAAAACCTGACCATCCCAGCATGCTGCCTGTCGGTGTATCATAAGAATGCATTAATAAAAGAGTGCAAGGGACATGATGTTACCTTTTTACTTCTTTTTCAGACTTTTTACCTTTAAAAATTTCAAATCAAGAGTAAGATGCCAGAAAAGACAAAGAACACTGATACCCATCTGCGGTCACTCGTAATAGTTAACGTGCTCACCGCTTTTGTGTTCTTTCTCTCTCTCTCTCTCTCTACCTCCTCCCTGCCCTTCCAAACAAAGACCTGCTCTTAAACAGCCTCAATAAAATGATCAAATTCAGGACAATTTAACATTGATAACATTCCCAACTAGTGCATAGTCCTGACTCAACTTTTGCCAATTGTCCCAGTGATGCCTTTTTCACATTTTCCCCTTGATCCTGGATCTAATCCAGATTCACATGTTGCATCCTTGTGGTTCCTTCGGTGTCCTTTAAACTGGAACTGTTCCAGTTTTTCTTTGTCTTCCAATGCATTAACATTTTTGAAGAGCGCAATGCTTCTTCACAATGCAAATGTAAGATGATGCATTTTGGGGAAAAAAATAACTGATGATTTTCACAGCGCATCACATTAGTAGGTACCTGATGTGCGCTTGGTCCGTTATTGGTAATGGTAACGGATCACTTTATTAAGGTGACGTCTGCCAGAGTCTCTCTTTGTAATTAACAAATCATTTCTGGCAGGGGCGGGAGGGTACTCTGACACTATTAATTCTGATTCCCAAAAAATTTCAGCATCTGCTCAGTTGCCTGACCAGTTATTACTGCTTTGGGCAAAGTGGTGATTTTTCTAACTCTTTTATTTCTTTGCATTTATTAGTTGGAATTCTACTATAAAGAAAAGTTTCTCTTCCACCCTCTTTCTGTATTTATCTTTTTATGTCTTTGTGAGGATCAGTAGGGATTTACAGGTTGTGTTGATTCAGTTGGTTATTACTTATCACTCTCATGATTCATTTTGATGCTCATCTTGTCCCAGCTTTGCCCAGTGGGTGCCCCTTCAATCTCACTCCTGGGCTTGCTTGATGCCCCCATCAGTCTGTGAATGTCATTTATTCTTTAGCCCTTAACATACCTGTATTGAAGTTCTTAGTTCAAGTCACTGCCCAAATGACAGATTTTATTCTTGCAAAAGATCTTTTTTTGAGCTATTGCAATGCCCCAGTTACTGATCTCGGTTCAGTACCACTTACATGGTCCAGTGGGAAACCAGACCATTATTTCAGCCTTTACAATATAGCAGGTTATGGTAGGGGTACCATGGGAGCATCAAAGCAAAGCCCTTTATCCCATTGGATTTAATAAAGAAGCTCCTGGGAGAAAGTTTATCACCTCCTAGACGTGAAAGGTGAGTAGAGGTAAACGTGGGGAGGAGGCACAGTGGTTCAGGCTAAGGGAAGCTTTTATACCTTTGAGGAATTTTCCCAGCCCCCTGGGGGCCTGTCAGAAATACCAACAATAGGACCCCATCCCAAAACAATGAACTCAAGATTTCTGGTGGGAAAAGCAATCCTAGGGTCCATATATTTTAATTTGCATACATAGCTTCTAGGGATTTTATCATGAGAAATGGTGTCACGTATCATGGAGCTAAAACCTTCGCAACTAAAATTTCACAAGATGCATTTTATTTTATAGGATTTTGAACTCAACAACGAACTAAAGATGAATGTCCTCAATTTACTAGAAGAAGTTTTGCGAGACCCAGACCTTCTTCCCCAGGAAAGGAAAGCCACGGCGAATATCCTGAGGTAAAATGCAGTTGCAGGGGCCTCCTAATGACATTGGTTGATTCGTGTGATATTCTAGAAAATAAGATCCTATCAGACCAGGAAGATGCATCTTAGACTCCTGGGGCAGCAAGGAGACTGCTGTCACCACAAAGAGTGACGTATCATCTTCTCTTTTCTGGGGGGCAGGTTGGCGTCTGCGGCCTCAGGCGGACTTGGCCTGGGCGACGTAACTTGCGTGGCATGCAGGAGTGCAGTTTCTCCCATCCATGTGGGCAGACAGTGGCTTCCTGCAGAACCACAAGTGAAAAGGGGGGGGTGCCTTGAGGATCCTCTCCTGCATCCCCAGCGGGTACTGCAGAGAGAGGTGGTTTTCCTGCCCTCGGTTCTAGTTGTTGACCATAAGCTCGTGTTTATGAGCAGGGCGGTAGCATTTCTGCACAAGTCCCGTGCTCCTGGTTTGTGGATGTACCACCCTCTAGGAGTTACATGTTTTCTCCGGCTTGCTTCACCGGTCCTAGACCAGTTTTACTGACAACTTCTCACGTTGGGATTCCCACATCATGTAGGTTGTATAAAAGCTCACAGATGTGATCAAAGCTTGAACTTTGGGTTTCCCACGAGAGACTGTTTGTGGCTGTCATTACACCCAGCATCCCAGCAGGTAATAAGCTCTCCTATAGCTTCTTGAACTCATGGGTGGATGTTTTTCTAGTCTGCTTTACAGGAGGACTAGACATTTCAGTTACAGTTTCCTCCCAACTCATGGCCATCCCTACTTAAGGATGGGAAGCCCAGCATCTATCTGCTTCACCTGGTAGCCCTTTACCATTCTGGCTTCTAGTTCCATCTTCATTTATAATCTCTGAAAAGAGTCCTTTCTTTCTTCTAACTTTGACTATATTGTTTCTTTGTTATCCAGAATTCTGTATAGAGGGGAGTCCACCATAGCTCAGTCTACCATGTTTTTGGAAGTCACTCTCTAATGCAGCGATGCCGGATTTTGGTCTAGCATCTTAACAATTGACGCAAAAGTGATTCCATCACCAGACCTTCTTTGGTCTAGGGGCTCTTGCAGGTGGAATGTGTCTGCCCCAAAACAGATATGTTGACATTCTATCCCTGAGTACCTCAAAATGTGATTCTGTTTTAGAAATAGGGTCATTGCAGATGTAATTAATTAAGATGAGGTCATACTGGAGTAGCATGGGCCCCTAATCCAATATAACTGGTGTCCTTACGAGAAGATGGCCATGGGAAGACAGAGAGAGACACAGAGAATGTCATGGGAAGATGGAGCAGAGACTGGGGTGAGGCAGCTACAAGGCAAGGAATACCATCTGCTCGCAAACCACTGAAAGTTAGAAAGACACAAGGGAGGATTCCTCTACAGGTTTCAGAGGGAACATGGCCCTGCTGACACCTTGATCTTGAACTCCTAGCCTCCAGAACTCTAAGACAATAAATTTCTGTTGTTTTATGCCACCTAGTTTGTGGTACTTTATTAGAGCAACTCTAGGTAATCTATTAAGGGCCCTCTTCACTTTGTCCACCCTATGAAGACACCTAAATAAGCTTAGGGCCTCTGTTACTATGTTTATTTTCAGACTTTAAAATCATAAATACATTTTCAGATAAAGCCTGGTTTCAGTTGGATGAGTGGTATGTAAATGATTTCTATTCCTCTTTTCTTTATATAAACAGTTTATTATGCTGTTTGTATTTCAAACGCTGATATTTTGAAACTGCTTTCTAGAAGTTTGTGCCCCCAGGGACATTTGACTGGACAGCCGTCAGGGAAGTGAGGATGTTCAGACTGGGAAAGACTCTCAGGGTTGGCAAATATGAAAGCCCATGTTGCCCATCCCCTCACAACACCCATACCATACATTACCAATCAATCCTGAGGGCTTTCTGCCAACACTGCTGGGTGAGCTCAGAACTCCGTTGTTAACTGGCATGTCATTAATTGGAGTTGGCCCTTAAGATGTATCCTATTTACCATTCCAGGCCCTTATTATTTATCAGGCTTAAGATGTGCAGGTTCTTTTTGTTGAGTAAATGACCTGAGAATTAGAGGTGTGGGATCGATAAGAAATAGAAATTTTAGTAGATGGTACAGCTGGGTGCATGACATGAAGCAGAGTCTGATTCTCACTTTTGCAGGATTCACAGGTATAATCTTGGTTCAGCCACTTACAGCTGTCAAGTTCCTTCATTTATAAAATGAGACTATAAAATGCGTATACACTAACCCATCTCTGTTGATTTCCTCTTATTGAGGGGACGTTGTTTTGTTTTCATCTACTATTGAGTTGTGACGATTATATGAAACAGTATGTACAAAGAGGTTAACACATGCCTGAAACATAAGTAGCACTCGTTTTACTGCTACACTTATTATTATTATTATTAGCTCTGACAGTAGCTCTTAGGAAAAGTAGTTTCTTCCGACAAGGCAATATGGCATAAGTAAAACCAAGGTAGGTCTTAGTCAAACTCAACTTTCCTTAGGCTTCATCACCTTGTCTATACAAAAGAGATTATAATAACATTAAAAGCCAATTTAATATTGCACAAAGACATGAATGCAATAAAAAATCATTCAAATGTACACTTCAAGTGGATGAATTATTTGACATGGGAATTATATCTCAATATAGTTGTTACAAAAGAAACTATAATCCTAACCCACTTGCTATTTAGTAATAGAAAAAAAGTAAAAAGCAAAACAAAAAAGCAGTTCTACTGATGGGATGCTCCCAGCTGCCCATCCACACTTCTGATCCCTTGCAGAGTCTTCCCAAAGTGTTCCAAAGGTCCCAAGAAATGTGTGCTCAGGAACAAATCCAGTCATTTTTCTGCCTCAGCATCTTTATTCAAGCTCACTGCCCCGGACACAGCTTGAGGGAGAGACCTTATCAGTGCCGCCGTTGTTTCTGTCAAGAATGCTAACTGACAGTCCTCCAAAGCCACCATTTCCCTATCAAAAAGCTGACAAAGATGCCACCTGCCCCATCCCTGAGCCACAGGGGCCCCAGAGCAGCCTCACTCAATCCAGAGTCTTGGTCTCTCGTGAAAATAGCTCCTTTGGCTCCTGGGTTCTACATCTTTCACCATAACAATTCAAAATTCACCCACTGAGCCAAGTAGGGAATAGATATTATGTCATCCATTCTCCTACCTCTGACCATCTTTCTTCCCATGAGGCCAAAACAAACAAAAGTCTCTGTTTAACCCTGAGCATATCAACTAAAGCAGACAGATACCCGTGGGGTCACCAGTGCATTAGCTGAGCAAACAGACAGACCCTGAGTCCCAGTTGGGTCAGCTGGGTCTCGGAGGCACTAACTTATCTTCCCAACAAGTGAGTGACCAGATTTATGCAAAAAAAAAAAAAAATCCTGGTGCAAGAAAACTCCTGATCTTTGATTGAAGTCCCTCTGCCAAGTCATTCCACCTGCACCAAGTTTAAGGGTCCCTGTGCCAGCACACAAGATTGTGATTATAGGAGGAATAAATGATACATTAATTTATCAGGGTTTTTGCTAACTTATCATACAGATACTTGTGTTTCTATGTACGACATTTACATATTTATATTTTTTAAATCATGTCAGAACGATTAGAAAGTAGAGTAGGAAGTAAGACCTTGATATAACCATCACTGATGGAGTGTCATCATTCATGAAATCTCTTTGTGAAAAAATATCATCATGGAGTATATGAGAAAGAAACAGAAACCAAAAGGATTATTTAATAATTATATGACAATTATATAAAATAGTAATTATGTGGAAAATTACAAAGATGTTTCTGTTAAATTATTTCTTAATTTGGAAACAAACAGGGAATTATTTCCAACCAAAACCAGGAGATTTTAGTACTTAAGATTTCCATGCATTTGTGGACATCTGACTTTTTAAAAAAATATGTCAGAGCATAGGTAGCAATGGGCTCAAGTAAGCCTGGAAGGAAGAAAAGCCATGCCCAAGAAAGCAAAGGATGGAAGAGGTGGTCTGGCAGGTCCGAGCAAGTGAAGCAAAAAGCAGTTAAACCATTCACAAATTGAGGAGGAGCAGAGACGAGGCATAGGCATGGGCCTATGCCAGCTGGTCTCAGTAGCAAGCAGGCAGCCCAGAGAGTGTGGACCAGTCTGCGGACAGAGGCCAATTTCTCTTGGCTTCGTTTTTAAGCCTATCTGATTTCTACTGTTGACAGAGGACTTTTCCCGTCACAGAACTTTGAATAATCCCATTTCCTTTTAAATGTTTTATTTGGCATTTCATTATAAACGCACAGATACTTAACTGATCATGTCGGCTGGGAGATGTGAGAGAAACCCAAGTATCCTGGAGTGTCCATCAAAGCACAAAGGCAGTCAAAAGACTAGGAGCACATCCATCCTCGATTGGAACTGGGCCAGAGGTAGAGGGGCTTTCCCATCTAAGGCAAAATTTGTGAACATATCTCCCAGTGAATACAGGTTGTGGTTGTGAGAGAGAAAAACATATCACATTGTAGTTAAATGTAACCTTGACATTAGAGATGTATAGGCAGTCAAGCTGTATGAGATATAAACATGAATGTATTTAAACATATATTACATTTATACAGGAAACTGAAAGCTTCCAATAATAAGCCATTTCTGTCTCATACAGTCTCACAGGGGTAGGTTTATGATGAAGAAATTTAATTAGCATGCGTAGTTTTTGTCTTGTTTGTGACTAAAAACCTCTGCTCAAGACTTTTCTATTTCTTTTTTTTAAAAGATTTTATTTATTTATTTGACAGAGAGAGAGGGGGAGTGGAAGAGGGAGAAGCAGGCTTCCTGCTGAGCAGGGAGCCTGATGCGGAGCTCGATGCGGGGCTCGATGTGGGGCTCGATGAGGGGCTCGATGCAGGGCTCAGTCCCAGGACCCTGGGATCATGACCTGAGTCAAAGGCAGACACCTAACGACTGAGCCACCCAGGCACCCCAAGACTTTCCTATTTCTAAAATACCACTTCCTCCCCAACGTTGTCTGACTAGCCGGCTTCTGAATCTATGTAGACATAAATCATGGTAAACAACTAACATGCCATAAAATGAAAAACAAACAAACAATGACTTCATGGGTGGGCAGCTGGAGTGGGTTCGAGTCATAAAAAGGTGACCCACAAACCTCACAAAGCCCCAAGAAGCATCAACAGGCATTTGGGAAAAGAGAAAACATTAGATAATTTAATAAGACCAGAACGCATCTTGGAACATTAGCGTGAGACAACTGAGAAAAGGAACATTTGATAAAAGCTAACTAACTTCTTGACCACTTCTTTCCAGGGAAAAACTATTGCCCAGCCTCATTAAAAAAAAAAAAAAACAATCTTTTCTTTGGGTATACATAGTTATGTGGCCACTGAGCTCTCTACAGGAACCTAGACTACCCTGGAAAGAATGACATGAGCTTTGGAAAGAGTCCCTTTTATCCCCTATGTGTAATCCTTAAGTGTGATTTAACAGTCTTTGGAGAAAAACTTGTATCTGCTTATTTTTTCCTCACCTTAATCTGCCTTTGATCATCTGATGAATATTTCTTTCCACACTCAAATGATACGGTTCATTGCTAACAAGAGGACAGTCACTCCTTGAATCTAGAAGGAATCTTTATCCTGGTAAACAGCCAAGAGCTTTTGTAAGAGAGGAAGATAGAGGGAAGAGACTGGACTTTTTTGGATGTGATTTGTGCTGGCTCCTTGAAGAGGTGCCTTTATACACCTGCCTGAGACAAGCGAGGGCTCAAGTGACCGAACCCTGGGCAAGTTAGTTCCTTTGAGCTTTGGTTTCCTCATCTGTAAGATGGAGATCAGAATGCTTACTTTGAAGGGATTTTTGATGATACAAGAGAGTGTATGTCAGATGGCTCACACATGGCTGGTGTGTAGTGGGTATACACTAACCCATCTCTGTTGATTTCCTCTTATTGAGGGGAGGTGGTTTTGTTTTCATCAATTCAGAGCACCGCGGAACATCGCGTCATTATTTCTTTGAAAACTACCTTCCTCCAGCAGATAGGCTGTGTGGCTTGGGACTGTTGAAACATTTCGGTACTTTTAAAATGTGATTGTGCCTTCATTTTGGAAAACTTAAAATGCTTGGCCCAGATGGTAAGTTATATAATCCGTATCATTCTCCTGGACTCTGAACTTCCGTTGGACATGAAATATCACTCCCACTCTGAAACCGGCACCCACTTCAGGATTAATTAACTTATGTATTTATTCAGTCAGTCATCACTGGAAAAAAAATATTGAGAGCTGAATAGCTCTGTGTGTGTGTGTGTGTGTGTGTGTGTGTGTGTGTGTGGCTATTGCACCAAATGTATCTCAGGAAAGGCCATCTGGGAATCAAGGGAGAAGAGTTAACCTGCTGGCTTCTGCCTGGCATTGTTCAAATTCTTGCCCTCCAGGAACTCGCCTGAGCTTCTGGTCTGTGTGTGTGCAAGGAGGGAGTGGCTCTGCATCTTCTGCCTCAGCATCAGCAGGGCAGGGCCAGGGTAGGGGCTGGAGGAATGTGGATGCGGTGCTCAGGCCTGTTAGGATCCCCAACTGATGGTATTGCGGGACGCCTGAACTCACGGCCCAGATCCTCTCACGGGCCCAGAGCACACCAGCTCTCCCTCAGGCTCGCATGAATGGTGGGTGTTATATTTACCACCTTGTATGGAACAAGTTGGCTCCCTGGGATAACCCAGCTCTCCCGATGATCCTCCTGTGCCTTTAACGTGCATGTTTTCCTGTTACTTCGACTTCCCACCTCCAGCTCATGTCTCTGTAGCCTCTCCAGTGGGAGGCACAGCCTGGTGGACCCAAACCCTCCCGCTTCCCAGTCAGGGAAATCCAAACTGCACATGGTCCTTTCATTCCTGGCATGTCTGTTTTCTTTTCATGGAGGATATTTTGATTTTTCTTTTTTAGGGCCCTTTCACAAGACGATCAAGATGACATCCACCTAAAATTAGAGGATATAATTCAACTGGTAAGTGCAGCCATGGTCTCATCCAGCACAGTTATGTGCAAACTACTTCTCAGAGGTGAGCGGTGTTATGCCCGTAACTGATAACCGGGCGCTTGACTGCAGTTCTTTCAATGAAGCCCGGTGCGATGACCTAAATTCAACTCGGGGGTTAGCAGTTGGTCCAGGCTGTTAATGTTGGCTGATATTTCTGAGCTTTCTGCCATTTTCTTCATAGCTAGAATCTCTGATGGACGTTGTCCTTGAGTGGCTGCGGGCACCTGCTGTCAGTGTGTGTCATTCCCCCCTTCCTCTCTTGCAGACAGACTGTCCGAAGGCTGAGTGCTTTGAGACCTTGTCAGCCATGGAGCTGGCCGAGCAGATCACCCTCCTGGACCACATCGTCTTCAGAAGCATTCCCTATGAGTGAGTGCGGCCCCACAGCTGCAGACCCCCTCAGGCAGGACCTGTGGGCTTAGCGCTGCCATTATTCCTAAGGCAGTTGTGGGTGCACAGAGGTGTGAGTCTTAATCTTACGATGGTTTGGTCTGACGTCAATGCCTTTTGGTCCCAGTTTATGTTAGAAATGTTGATTTGGAAACACCGGGGACTCTCAGGATGGTTACTCTTATGTTTCTTTATGTTCAGCGGTTCCCCCGGAATGTGAATTTCTTTGTACTCTCACATCCTTGCAGTATTGGAACCTCCATATGGCTGCAACCGTGGTTCTCAAACTGCATGGTAATTAAAAATCCTTCAGGAAACTTGTTAAAAATGTACGTTCCTAGGTATCCCCTCCAGAGATTCGGATTCTAGTAGGTTTGAGGTCCAGGAAATGGCATTTTCCATGAGAATCCCAGACACTACTGCGTGATCTAGGACTATACTTTGAGAAGCACTGAGGATGGGTAAAATCTGTAAATTCTGCTACAATTACTCACCTGCTTCCACGAATCAACAAGTATTGCTGAGCTTTGAGACTCTACAACATGTAGATGGATTCCCGAGACGGAGCTTTCCCCGGGGTGTGTGCGGAGCTGACCTGTGCCGCGTCAAGCTGCCCCGTGATGAGTGTCCCTATCACCGCTTCAACCTTCTCACGTAGAGCATGAGGGAGCGCGCTAGCTCCTTCCCACTGCAACAATCAGGAGCTCCATAAGCAAGGCCTTTGTTTGGACAAATGACAACTGTTGGCCCATGTCCTCGAAAGAGCTAAGTTGAGGGTAAAGGAGGGGCTGGGCAAGAGATACAAATGTGACCCACGTTGTAGGTAGAGAAGAGGCCATCATGATGATGGAGGGGTCAGGCGTGGCAGTGGGTGGTCAGAGCTACAGCTACGTTAGAGAGGCGTAAGGAGCAGGGCCAGAAGATGCCCCTGCTGGCTTTTCTATAGGCATTGTATCTTCTCACTCTCCCCGTCTCTACCCATGAGCAAGGTTGGCGGGGAAGAAATGTGGCCTATTGGCCATCCAAATGAACCCAGTGACTACTTGAAGACTTGAGTTAGAAACCACAGTGCCATGGGGCACCTGGGGGGCTCTGTCAGCTAAGCGTCCAACTCTTGATTTTGGCTCAGGTCATGATCTCAGGGTCATGAGATCAACCCTCACTCCAGGCTCTGCACTGGGCATGGAGCCTGCTTGAGATTCTCTCTCTTTCTCCCTCTGCCCCTCCCCAACTTGCACTCTTTCTCTCTCTTTCTCTCTCGCCCTCTAAGGAAAAAAAAAAAAAAAACCCACAGTGTCTAGTGCAGTGGGGATTCAGTGGGGGGAGATGAACATGACCTCTGTGGAGGAAGGGAAAGAGCAAAGGCCAAACCCCTATGGTCAGTCTCTTCCTGGGATTCTCCCTTCCTCTCCTCTCCTCCCTACTGGCTTGGACATCAACCCATTATTTTCATCTGTGGAACTCCCACACCTTTATATCCAGCAGCCTTGCAGGAACTTAAAGGAACAAAAAACCTTTTGCAGGGACTCACTCAACATTTCTGGATTAAGACCGTGTCAGAGTAATTTCATTTCAGGTTATTTTTTTCATGTCTATACAAAATAGTTCCTCTATGCACCAACTTGCCTGTCCGTTGCTTGCTGTGGTCTGGTGGGCTGCTCATGAGTGAAGTGAGGGAACAGGGATGTTATTCAGAAGATAGACCTTCCAGCAGGCTGAGCTCCTACCACTGTTAATGCCTTCCCCATATGAAGTAGAAACAACAGTGTTCCACGCCTTCCCCATGTGTCCTGTTCTGGGCTCTGGGGAGAGCAAAGGAAAATCCCTGCTCGTGGATTTGACATCGTCCTAGAGAATATCAGAGCAAAGTGGAGGAACACATGTTGTTTGTGATTAACATGTTTGGTAGTGATGGATTTTTCAGTCCTTCTGCTAAGGCTTAAAATTTTTTTAAGCTGATCCAGGGAAAATAATTTGGTTCCTGAATTAGTACTTAATGTCTTTATTCTTCTTGTGTTGGTCATTGTGTTCCCATTTCAGAGAAGCCTTTATCATGATCCTAGTAAGGACAAAGTTCCAAACATTTATAAGAGAAAGGTGGAAATTGAAAAATCTTTTTCTTTTTGGCATCGAGTGGCAAAATACTAGAGATGAGCCAAAATTCATTTGAGATGGTCAGATTTAATGCAAATAATATTCATACTCATTGTTCAGGATCATAGACACCATTTTAAAAACTTAATTGGTTTTCTGTTCTGTTTTGAACTTACAGAGAATTTCTTGGGCAGGGGTGGATGAAGCTGGATAAAAATGAAAGAACACCTTACATTATGAAAACCAGCCAACACTTCAATGATGTGAGTAACCATAAAAATAAAACCTGGGCATGTTATAGGGAGCTGAGTATCAGGGTCTTAAGACTCCTTCTCTAAAATAAAGCAAGTGTGCCCCCCACTTTTTAAACAAAACTGAGGAAAGGTTTAAAAAAAAAAAAGCTTAAATCTTCTCTAAGAGCTCATAGTGATGTAATAACTTCCAGTTAACTTCCGGACATAAGAGATTCACTTCTGATGGTACCCAAGTCTGGTAAGTCCTCAATAATGCATAGATTGTGGCTATTATTGTTATCATAATCATCATTACTTCGTGGTCATACATTGATGAGTTGTAATAGCACATGTGTCACTGGTCCCGGTGGTGCTGGTGACAGTAAGTTTGGGTTGGTACAAATCATCCTCATTATTACTGAGCATTCAGTGCATATGCATTCCAGGGTTGGAAGGGACCCCTTTGAGCGTAATTACAGTGTTACCACAACTGTGCACGATGGTGACCAGCTGTTGGTCCATCTCCCTGCTCTGCTTTTCTCCAGCAGTAAGATGGAGTTGCCTTTATACCCACCAACTCCTAATTGGTTTTGTTCTAATGATTTTCATCCTTTGGCGGAACCACATATGTGGGAGCATCTTCAGGCCTATCTAGGCAGTTCTACGAAAAGACAATAAAAGGAATAATGATGATGTTAAAAAAGAAAAAAAAAAGACTATGAAGTTCCCTGTAGGTAAATTAGTAAGTCATTCAGCCTCACAATACAAAACCACAGTGTAGATTCCCAAGACAGTGCTTTGTGCAGGGTACCTGCGGAGTACGTATATACCCAGTGAAGGTTATCGCATGGGGAACATCCATGCCACCGCTGCCTGGAGGACGGGCCACATGACCTCTCTAGGCTACTCTCTGAGAAGCAGAGCCCCTGCTGCAGAAAATCAGCTTCTGTTGTCTGTGCCATGCACCCACTTGGGTATAATGAACAAGCAGACGAGCAGTTCCATCCCAGGTTCCAGACCCTCTCGTCTCCACTTGGATGACGGCTTGCGCTGTGCATTCTTCAACAGATTGCAAGTGGAGTTTCTTATCGTTAGTACTCCCCAGGCCTGCCAAGCCGCCTCCTTCATCTTATGCCCTGTCCTTAGTCTTGCGTAGTGGCCCAGACCGCACGCTCACTCACCCAAACACAGACTCCAGAGGCCATCTCTGACTCGTCTGTCACCCACCCCACCTCACTCCCCAGTATATAAATCTACATATGTCCTGGACCCTTCCCCGCCTACTTTCCTGCCGCCATCACCTTAATTTGACCTTTCATCCTTTTCTCGGGGAGCTCCTACCTCACTACCCCCACTGTCCTCTCCTTGCTCCCAAACCCATTCTTTACACAGTTGTCACAGAAATAACTTTTCTGCAAGACCAATCTAGTTATATCCCTTTCCTGACAAAATTCTGTCAGCGGCTTCCTCTCACCTTCAAGATCCAGTCCCCGCTGCTCAACGTGGCCTACAAGAGCCCTGCATGCTGGGCATCTGTGTCTCTCTCGTGGCTTCCCTGGGCTCCTCAGATGACTGCCAGCGCCTCTGTTACACCAGGCCTTCTACCTCTGTCCCTTTTCAAATGTTCTCCTCCTTTGATGGAAAGCAGTGGCTAACTCCTTCTCACCCTTTAGGACTCGCAGCAGGATGACCTCTTTCTGGATGCCTCTTCTCTACTAGGCCAGATAACCCCCTGCTACCTCCGTGTCCTCAAACCCCCCCATACAGACTTAGCTTTGCCTTTCACTATGTGATATTTACTTGTCTGTCTCTGCCTCCCTTCACCTTTCTGCCTAACTAGGCTCAGTGCCTTGAGGTCAGGGGTGCTGAATTATTTGTTTTTCCTGTTCTTACAACCTAAATGAATGCCACGTCCATTCTGGGTGCTCAGTACAAAGTAATTTTTTAATGACTGTGTACAGTGATAATTCTGAGACACGGTGAGATCTAAAATACCTATGGACTAGTCAGAGAATCGGTGCACTCAACCAGATTGAGCGTATGGATGTAAGATTACAGACCTTGCATTCCCTTCGTTAGTAATCAATCCTAAACTGTCCTTTCTATATTCTAAGCGTTGAGCTGCGCCAACTGCCTCTTTTTCTCTTGGTTTCAACTAATAGCATTACAGTACTTACCCTTGCAACACTACAGGTCCTGTTCACTCTGGTGGGAAAAAACCCAGCGAGATAAGAAGGAATAAATGTTCTCTCCTCCCCTGTCCCTAAATGTGTCCGGCGTGAGGGCTGATCAGGTTAGAGTTTGATTTGATTGGGGGTAAATGTCTTTTCTTTTTCTGTGGTACCTGGGGCTTCCTGGTCCCCCACCTGTCAGGGGCAAAGGAGCATGTGGAGAGGCCCCAAGGAGTGAAACCCATCATCAGCAAAGGTTGCCATTCTTCAGGAATTAGCTCATTCTTTTCCATTTCCTCAATAGTTACCGGAAATAACTCCTTCATCAAAAGTACTGATTAAAAAAAAAATGACCTGTTCCCTCAACACATTGATTGCAAACAATCCCTCTGTTCACTGTGAGGATGAACAGGTTCCCATTGGTTTCTTGCTATTATTATTACTACACACTGTAGTCTTTTCGGAAGGTTGGTCTCTGAATGTGGACTTTGATCTCCATGTCCCTCGGCACTCTACTTTCCCGGCATTTCTATGGGGGATCCAGGCGCTGTGCCTGAATGCGTTTCTTTGGCTCTTAGCTGGCCTCTCTTGGCTTTTCCGTTGTCTCAGATGAGTAACCTGGTGGCGTCCCAGATAATGAATTATGCCGATGTCAGCTCCCGCACCGTCGCGATAGAGAAGTGGGTGGCCGTGGCGGACATTTGCCGATGCCTGCACAACTACAATGGCGTCCTGGAGATCACCTCAGCCTTAAACAGAAGTGCCATCTACAGGCTGAAGAAAACCTGGGCCAAGGTGTCCAAGCAGGTGAGCAGCAGTGTGCCACACAGCCCGCTGCTGAGAGTACAAGCCGGGAGCCCAGAGCCCAGATGAAATATTACTCATTAGGAAATAATTAACTGAATCGAGCAGCTCAGTTGCCAAAGAAAGGTGCCAACGTGGGTAATTACTGCGCTCTTACCATTTAATTGATTCCACTCGTGCGCACTTCTAATTGGTTAGTTTAAGAAAAGCAAATACGACCCCATAGCATTCATTACAACATATTCGGGCCCAACTTCAGACGGTGCGGTTGACAGTCAGGAGTTGTTTCCTAAATTATTTAGAGAAGGCACGTTGATTCCAAGTGAACACAGCAGTGTCTCACGGACCAGTTCTTTCTCCCCAAAGTAAGCATATAAATGCCCTAGGGCTTCAACTTTCGCTTTTTTTTTTTTTTTTTTTTTTGGTCATTTATGTAATAACCTTTTGGCATAAAGACTTAGGTGTGCCGGAAACTTTCACAGTTTTCTTTTAATTGGACTCAGCTTGTTCATGCCTATCATTTTCATTCGATATTTTCAAGATTCAAATGAGATCACAATCTCCCCGCTGCCCTTTCTCCTGGCCTTCTCCCTGGGTGTGGGTAGGTGTTGCAGAGGGCTCCTCTGGGCTTCTGGGAGGCCGTGTGCACCCGCTGGTCACCTGTTGCGGTCTTCTGCTAGTTGGTCCCCAGGTGCAGGCCACCGTGAATTGCCCATGTGTGGTGTATGTGTGGTCTGCCCGGCCTGCCCAGGAACAGGGGGGCTTAGCTGACCTCACCTCCCCTTTAGCCCTCGTTGGCTCCCACTGGCCCCTCTCCTACAGGCTGCCCTGTCCCTCGTGATCCCTGGTGTGCATGCTAACTCTTCATTAGTAGATTAACTACCCTGGCCCTCTTAAAGGGCGGTGGGGGGATTTTCCAGACTCCCCCAAGTCCTCCTGGTGCCAGAGGCAAATTCTTTTGTCTGTGATCAAAGCCTGGACCTTGCAAACAAAAACCACAGCTTTTTAAGTACTGTTTAAAAAAAAAAGGGGGGGGGGGGCGCCTGGGTGGCTCAGTTGGTTAAGCGACTGCCTTCAGCTCAGGTCATGATCCTGGGGTCCTGGGATCGAGCCCCGCATCGGGCTCCCTGCTCGGCGGGAAGCCTGCTTCTCCCTCTCCCACTCCGTCTGCTTGTGTCCCCTCTCTCGCTGTCTCTCTCTCTCTCTCTCTGTCAATTAAATAAATAAAATCTTAAAAAAATATATTAAAAAATAAAAATAAAAAATAAAAAATAAAAAAGCAAACACTTTTTATGTTGAGATCATGTAGGTTCACGTACAGTTTGGAAGAAATAATAGAAATCCCCTGTACCCTACACCTAGTGCCCTCCATTGTAACCTCTGGTGTAACTGAAAACATATCCCAACCATAAAGTTAACATTGGTAACATCCACTAACCTTATTCAGATGATCTGTTTTACATACATGCTCATCTGGGCCTGTGTGTATTTACTTTTATGCACTTTCATTACCCCTGCAGTCCAGCTACAACACAGTGCTATGACCAGGATCCCTCCTGCCACGCTTTTCATAGCCATAGCTGCTTCCTCCCTGACCCCTCCCTAACTCTGACCAAAAACCTGTTTCCCATCTCTATAAAATTTCGTCATTTCAAGGACATTATATAAATGGAATCATATGGTAGATGACATTTTGAGATTGCCCTTTTAAAAATTCCCTTGAGATCCATTCATGTATCAATACTTTGTTTCTTTTTATTGCTAAGTAGTACTCCTGGTATAAATAGAGGACATTTCACCGTTCACCCCTTGAAGAACATCTGGGTTGTTTTCAGTTTGGGGCTGTTACAAATAAAGCTGCTATGCATATTCACATATAGGTTTTGTGTGACTGTAAGTTTTCTTTTCTCTGGGATAAATGCCCAAGAGTGCAAATGCTGGATCACATAGCGATTGCGCATTTAGTTTAATAAACTGTCGAATTCTTTTCCAGAGTGGCTGTACCATTTTATACTTGTATCAGCAAAGTATGAACGAACGGTTTTTCCAAATTCCTGCCCGCATTTGGTGTTATCACTATTTTTTATTTTAGCCATTTTGATATCTCATTATTGTTTTAATTTGCGTTTTCCTAATGGCTAATGATGTTAAATATCTTTTCATATGCTGATTTGCCATCTGTTTATCCTCTTTAATGAAATGTCTGCAGCTCATTTTTTGACTGGATTTTTTTTTACCTTTGAGATCTGAGAGTTCTTTCTATATCCCTCCCTCCCACTTTATTGTAAAATTATTTTAGCTACTCTAGGTGCTGCGACTTTCCATATAAATTTTAGTAAAAAAATTATGTCTAGAAAAACTTTACTGACATTTTTATTGGAATTTCATTAAACCAGTCAATTTGAGGAGAACTGATATCTTTACTCTGTCGAGTCTTCCAGTCCTCAAACACAGTCTGTCTCTCCATTTCTTTAGGCTTTCTTAAATCAACATTTTGAAATTTTCAAAATATAAATCCTGTGTAAATTTTTTAGATTTATGCCCAAATATTTCATTTTCTTTGGACAAATTTTAAGTGTTACTGTGGTTTCGATTTTGGTTTCCACACATTCATTGTTAGTCTGTACAAATGTCATTGATTTTTATTGTGTTGGTCTTCTATCTGCAAACTTGCTGAACTCACTGATCAGTTCTAGGAGCTTTTATTTTTTGGTAGACTCCCTGGGGTTTCTACACAGACAATTGTCACTTATAAATAGGAACTATCTTAAGTACTTTCTTTCTAATTCATACACCTTTTTTTAAAATATTTTATTTATTTATTTGACAGAGAGAGACACAGTGAGAGAGGGAACACAAGCAGGGGCAGTGGGAGAGGGAGAAGCAGGCTTCCCATCAAGCAGGGAGCCTGATGCGGGGCTCGATCCCAGGACCCTGGGATCATGACCTGAGCCGAAGGCAGATGCCCAACGACTGAGCCACCCAGGTGCCCCATAATTCATACACCTTTTATTTCCTTTTCTTGCGTTTTTGCTCTAGCTAAATTTCCAATGCTATGTTGAATAAAGGTGGTGAGAAAGGACATTCTTCCCTTGTTCTCAATCTTGTGGGGAAAGCACTCCGTCTTTTACCATTAAGGATAGTGCTAGCTACAGGTATTTTGCAGATGCTTTTATAAAATTGAGGAAACGATTCTCTCTTCCTAGTTTTTTGATAGCTTTGATGATGAATAGGTGTTAGAATACTGTTTTTAAAATGGGCTTCAAACAGCTATATCAGAATCTAAAAACTGGACAGTGACGCCCTTGTTGTGGCTTGTTTTTGCCTCCTCCTAAGGCAATGGTAGCCTTAGCCACTGGACACTGGATACAAAGAGCATATTATCCTGCCACACACATTGTCACACTTCATCAAGGTCAGTAAGTCAGTCCTCTGCCTTCTCTTTCATTTTCCTTCCCCTATTTCCTTTTTCATCTGAGGTTGGTACCAAGGGATTCTTAAATCTTCTTTAAGAAAACACTAGGCCTATGATCCAGCAATTGCACTACTAGGTATTTACCCAAAGGATACAAAAATACCCATTCAGAGGGACACATGTACCCTGATGGTTACAGCAGCATTATCAACAATAGCCAAACTATGGAAAGAGCCCAATGTCCATTGGCTGATGAATGGATAAAAGAAGATGCAGGATGTATACACACACACACACACACACACACACACAAGCACACACGGAATATTAGCCATAAAAAAGAAAGAAATCTTGCCATTTGCAATGACATGGATGGAGCTAGAGAATGTTATGCCAAGCAAAATAAGTCAGTCAGAGAAAGACAAATACCACATGATTCCATTCACTTGTGGAATTTAAGAAACAAAATAGATGAACATTGTGGGGGCGGGGGGAAAGAAGCAAACCAGGAAACAGACTTTTAACTATAGAGAACAAACTGAGGGTTACTGGAGGGGAGGTGGGCTGGGGGTGGGGTGGCGGGGGAGGGGGAGGAGATAGGTTAAACCGGTGATGAGCGTTAAGGAGCGTACTCGGTGTGGTGAGCAGCGGGTACTGTACGTAAGTGATGAATCACTGAATTCTACACCTGAGCCTGATATTACATTGTATGTCAACTAACTGGAATTTAAATAAAAACTTGAGGAAAAAAAAAGAAAAGAAAACATTAGGCCTTCCCTGTAGTTGGCTTACGTGATACCCATGTCTTTTCAGGATGAGGCTTTAGGGGTAACTGACTATAGAATAGGGGTGATAAGACTGATATTAAAATGTTTTTTTCAAATTTGAATATACTACCTGTAGAGGCATTAAGTAGAATATACCATTTCAATCACATGTATGTGTCACTCAAAGTGGCTTTAGAACGGGTAATGGTCTATCGTCCCAGGCCCAGGACTTCGGTCTAGTCACAGTAGGTAGTGCCTGGTTACAGATATGCCCTGCTTCAGACTCTTTCATCACCCCATATGCTCTGTAGCTGTCTCTTCTTCAGGTCTGAGTCCAGGCTGGGAGACATCCAGAAGGCCTGGTAGAATGTACAGTTGGGAGCCCACCAAATTAGATCTGTGGCTATAGGATAGACTACATTTGTGCAACTTCTTTCAGCCCAAGGCCAGCTCTGGGCCAGGCAGGGGGCCCACCCGGCCCCATCCCATCCCCCAACCCCACTGCCCCTGCCCAGGCCTTGCTGGCTATCTTCTTTCAGAGTCCTCAGGAACCAGGATGGGGAAGGCAGCCCTTTGAGTCATTCTGAAAGCTCTCAGGAAGCATGCAGCTGCTTTCCAGACTGAGACAGAGTAGTCTGAGGAGTCGCAACCCGGGCATTCTAAGTGCTTTTCCCTGCCATTCTGCCTGGGCATGGGTATTACTAGGAGTGGGTCATCATCCCCAAGGGCTGCCCTACCATTCTCCCATGTCCATGTGAGAAACTCCAGATCAATGTCAACAACAGTTTTATCTCTTGGTAAATGTCAGTTATACTTTTCTAACAAGTTGAGGAAGTTGGTCACAAAACAAAGGCTTTGTAGCAGAAGACAGCCAAGCAACCAAATCTGTGTCTTGATGATTTGGAAATTAACACCCAAAAAGATTCACCGTGAAAACCACCTGACATGAGACCTCTCATTTAAGATTCCCTAAGTCAACATGTGCTTTTTCAATTCTTTAAGTCCCTAATTTCTCGTTCATTGCACTTTTTCTTTTCTACACATTTTCCTCTTTTTGGCTAAATGAGCAGTATAGTCACTCTTCTCCACATGTTTTTGATTTTTTTTTTAACATCAAATTCGGTCTGTACTTTGAAAATCATATCACAACAGTCTGACAAAGGTATCAGCACCTGCCACTATGGAAGGGAAGTGAGGATCTCTTGGTAACTCACCCATCTTGTCAAACCATAGGAGTATTTTCATGACAGGCTAAGTTGTTTGTTTCTTTCCAGACGAAAGCTCTCATGGACAAGCTTCAGAAGACTGTTTCATCTGAAGGAAGATTTAAAAATCTCAGAGAAACCCTTAAAAAGTATGTTTATCTTAATCATTAAGTTATTCATAATTCAGAAATGTATTTTTAAAATATATACAGTATACAAATAGTGGCCTACCTCCTACTTTGCTTTGAAAAGAAAAACAAATGGGGAAGAACTTCCACATCTAGGTATTTTCCTGATTTTTCTTTACATTTGAAAGACTGTGCGTATACAGTAAGTGTCTTGTGGACATACCAGTGGCATGCAGACTATCCCGAATAAGAAGAAAATATCATCATCTTTTACTCTAAAATCAAACCATCTTCTAATATAAAAATTTCTTGATTTGGTATTTATTAATCTAAGCACAACAAGGAGACTGTGGTTCGCAGAGTTTGTCCAGCATCCCTTAGCAAGTGGTCATGCTAGGACTCAGACCCAGTTAATTCTCTCTGGCTCAAAAGCCCATGTCCTCCTCACTCTTGACTCTGAGAAGACCAAGGTACGCCCCTCACAAAACAAAAACAAAGAAACCATCACTTTAGAATGCAGAGGTGATATTCATTAGGTCTGTACCTTCTAAAACATTGAAATCCTAACGAAAGCAGAATACAAGCTTTACGGGCTCTAATCACCTTGATTTTTCCCCCCAGTTCTTGGGAGGTTCCTCCATGCTCTTACTCCCGGGAAAGTGCGGCCGGTTTACAAGTACTGCGGACGAGTGCTGCTGGCACAGACTCTGTCCTCGTCTGTAAGGCAGCCTGTTGCTCGAACATGCCGTCGTCCCAAGCACATGTAAAACATAAGGCTGTGACTTGCTCTTCTAATCTGTTATGAGATGTATTGAAAACTCTTAATATCATGAGTGTGCTTGTGCAGACGGAATTAAAAGGCTTTATTCTTCAGGATTGAAGCCACACGGTTGCTTCCCGTGAAAGACGGGAAGGGAGTCTCTATTTGCATGAGTGCGCTTGAGAACAGTGTCTCTTGGTTTTGCAGCTGTAACCCCCCAGCTGTTCCTTATCTGGGGATGTACCTGACGGACCTGGCGTTTATTGAAGAGGGAACACCAAACTTTACCGAGGAAGGCCTTGTTAATTTCTCCAAGATGAGAATGGTAGGTGGTCCTTTCATCATCAGCCTGTTTCAGTGACTGCAGTGGTTTAAAGAGAAGGGCTAAGTCACGGAGCTCACTGTTTGCTTTTTCATTTTGAGATGGAAGAGATGGGGGACACTGGGTTTCATATCTGCTGTGGCTGATTGAAGCGATTTTCAACAGGGGTATTGCAGCTTGCATGCGGTCTGGGCAAAGGGGTGGGGAATGAAGCTCCAGGGATGACTTTCTGAGATGGAACAGTGATGGACAGATGCTGAAGGCTTCTTGCTGGACAACGGGGTTCAGAGCACCAAGTTAGAACAGGGAGCCCAAGGACAGTAACACCCAGAGCTTGCCTTTGCTGGACCCGAGGTCACCTAGGCCAACTGTTCCCCTGATTGTGAAGTCAGTATCTTCTTGCCCTTTGCATTTCATGTAGCTCATTGAAGGGCAAGAAAGCCCTGGCTGGGCATAGAAAATGATAGGGCTGGGCTCTGGCACTTTGCTGGAGAAAGTGCCTGACGACTTGTGCATAGGGCCTGGAAGAATGTGTTGCAATACAAGGAAATACTTTTGCTTTGCTTTTGTTGTTATTGTTTCTCTCTTAGATATCACACATCATCAGAGAGATACGCCAATTCCAGCAGACTTGCTATCGAATAGACCATCAGCCAAAGGTAATATTGTGTGGCGGTTAAGGGAATTAATAAAGAAAAAAGTGGAAATTAATGAGTTAGAAACAGTGGTAAAGTTGATCGATAATATCAAAAGCTGACTCACAGAAAAAAACCAATAAAATAAAAAGACAAGTCTTTGGCAACTCTGATTAAGAAAGAAAGAAAGAAGGCAAAAAGAACACCAATTTATCAAGTTCTATTGATTATATATTCTCTATTTCTCATAAATCTGTCTACACCATTACCATCCTGGCCCAAGCTACCAATATCTATTACCTGGCCTACTTGCATTCACTCTAGAATGCAAAATCCTTTCTACAAATTGCAGCCAAATAGAACTCTCTGAAACACAAAGCAAGATATGTTTGTCCCTTGTGTAAAATATTTTATAGGTTTTTCATTGCTCTTCAGATAAAGAAAGAAAAAGTCTTGATGTGTCCAATAAGTCCTACATTACAAGGCCCCTACTCATCTTTCAAAATTCATCTCACATCATATATCCCCTTTCTTCCTCCGTCCCAGCCACAACTGGTCTGTCTGTCTGTCTGTCTGTCTTTCCTTCCTTCCTTCCTTCCTTCCTTCCTTCCTTCCTTCCTTCCTTCCTTCCTTCCTTCCCTTTCCTTCGTTTTTAAATAGATATTTTTTAGAATCATTTTAACTTTACAGAAAAATTAAGAAGGTAGTACAGAAGATTCCCATAAAACTCACAGCCATTTTTTCCTTATTATTTCATGGAACTTGACAAACTTGTCATGAAACTCCTGAGGAAGCTGAGACGGGCAAAAACAAAACAAAACAGAACAACAAGAACAAAAAACAAAAAACCAGATGGATTTTTTGAAAAATAAAAAGAGTGAGAAAGAGCTTTCCCTACCAGATACAGACACATATCCTAAAACTATAATCAATAAAGCAGGACTACATTGGCATAGGAATACAAATTCAGTGGAGTGCGATACAGTCCTGATGCAGATTTTGTCTATAGGAAAATCTAATATGGAATAGAGGCGGCATTTAAAGAAAGTGCCAGAAAGAAATTGACCAATCAAGTAAGGGAATAGGAATTTTGGCTCTCCATCTGATACCATTCACAAAAAAAATCCAGATGAGTTCATTACCTAAACGTAAAAATAAATATTCAATTATTTGAATAAAATTTAGTACAAAACATCCACAACCTTTAGATTTGAAAGAACTTCTACAGAACGTATGAGCTGTAAAAGGTAAGCTTGATTGGGCGCCTGGGTGGCTCAGTTGGTTAAGCGACTGCCTTCGGCTCAGGTCATGATCCTGGAGTCCCGGGATCGAGTCCCATATCGGGCTCCCTGCTCAGCAGGGAGTCTGCTTCTCCCTCTGACCCTCTTCCCTCTCATGCTCTCTATCTCTCTCATTCTCTCTCTCAGATAAATAAATAAAATCTTTAAAAAAAAGATAAGCTTGATTAAGTTTGCTGCATCAAAATTAAAACTTCTGTATGACAAAATGCAATTATTTAAAAAGCAAAAATGAAACCAGTAGGCTAGGAGGTGATTTTTTTTAAATTTTTTTCTTTCGAGAGACAGAGACTACATGTGACAGCAAGTGGGGGAGTGGCAGAAGGAGAGGGAGAGAGAGAGAATCTTAAGCAGGCTCTGTGCTCAGCACGGAGCCCGACAAGGGGCTCGATCTCGCGTCCCAGAGACCATGACCTAAGCTGTAATCAAGAGTCAGACACTTAATTGACTGAGCCACCCAGGCGCCCCAGGAGATGATATTTGTAACATGCAGAACAAGGGGACAGAATGACAGTATTCCTATAAGTCGGTAAGAAAAGTATAAACAACTCAGTAGAAAAATCGGCAAAGCTTGGAACAGGTGAGGTAGCTCACAGAATAAGAAACAAAACTGGCCAGTAAATATTTTTTAAATGTTTGACTTCACTAGTGAGAAGGAAAACAAAATGCAAATTATAATGAGACGTCATTTTCACCTTAGAGATAAACAAAATTTTATTTATTTATTTTTAAAGATTTTATTTATTTATTTGACAGAGAGAGACACAGCGAGAGAGGGAACACAAGCAGGGGGAGTGGGAGAGGGAGAAGCAGGCTTCCCGCGGAGCAGGGAGCCCAATGCGGGGCTTGATCCCAGGACCCTGGGATCATGACCTGAGCCGAAGGCAGACGCTCAACGACTGAGCCACCCAGGCGCCCCCAGATAAACAAAATTTTAAAATCCTGGTAACATCAGACCTCAGAATGTTGGATACCAGGTGCTCTTATAAACTGTAGGTTACAGCAGTTTGGGAGGTTATATCTGCATCATCTGTTAAAATTAAAAATTGATGAACTGAGCAACCACAAGTCTTCTGCTTTGCTGGTGAGAATAACATGGTTCATCCTCTTTAGAAAACTGTGTGGTGTGGATATTTCTTCAAACATTAAATATGCCTCTACCTTATGACCCAGGAATTTCTCTCCTAGGCATTTACCCAGGGGCGAATGAAAACATGCCCACTGAAAATCTTGTATAAAATGTTCATAGCATTTCTTAATAATAGCCCCAAACTGGAAACAGCCCAGGTGTCCATAAATAGATGAAGGGATCAACAAATGTGGTGTATCTATATGACGCAGCACCACTCAGCAATGACAGGGCAGGCTAGTGATATACGCCACAATATGGAAGGACTTCAAAACATTATGCTGAGCGAAAGAAGCTAGACACACAAGTACGTGCTGTATGCTTCAACTTCCGTCAAATTCTCGAGTAGACAAAATGAATGCCTGGTACTAGAAACCATAGCAGTGGCCGCTCCGGGGAGCAGACTGACAGGGAAGCTGAATGAGGGAACTTCCTGGGGTAGGGAAACGGTCCTGAAGCTGTGATATATATGCTACAACTAATCCAACTCTTAATTTTTCTTATATAAGTTATATCTCAATAAAATCAAAGCAATATTTCCACAGAAACACTCCAGGCCCCAACATGTTTATTTTAGTGTCATTTCCTTTCATTTCACTTCTAGGGTCCACCCCAAAGGAAGGAACATTCCCATGTGAGCACTAAGCAAACATGCTAACAAGGATTTCACTGTCACTTTGTGTAATAGTGAAATATTGACAGCAACTAAGCACCCATCAATAAGAGATTGTTAAATAAACTCTGAAAGATCGCGTGTTAATGCTGTACAGCAGTTCACATTCTGTGTACTGACATGGGGAGCTCTCACTGACTTACACTGAAGAGATGAAAGCAGAATAAGGTACATCTGAGGATTATAAGGGAAGAAAAGATTTCTATAAGAACATGTAATATCTAGAAAGACAGAACACTCTGGAGAGTACAAACCAGATGACAACAGTGGTGTCTCTTCAGGGAAGTGCCTGGGGTGAGGAGCTGGGAGAGGAATGGAAATGTGTGATTTTCTTTCTTTCTTTCCCTTTTCCTTCCCTCCCTCCCTCCCTCCCTCCCTCCCTCCCTCCCTTCCTTCCTTTCTTTCTTTCTCTCTTTCTTTCTTTCTTTTCCTTCCTTCCTCCCTCCCTCCCTCCCTCTCTTTCTGTATCTCTTTCTTTCTTCCTTTTTTTTACAGTGAGAATATATTAATGATTTTTAAACCATGATATAACATTTCCAAATGTTCAAGAGAAAATGTTGAATTGTGTCCGATTCTGTTCAGAAAGTGTGCATAGTCGTGTTCTGCAAGAACCAAAAGCTAGGATTTCCCTGTTCCTCCAGGTCACTCAGTACCTGCTTGACAAAGCCCTCATCATAGATGAAGATACGCTGTATGAACTGTCACTAAAAATTGAACCTCGGCTCCCTGCTTGAAGGTCCGGCTTTGCCCCTGAGTCTGTAGGATTCTCATGGAAAGCGGGACGGACAGAACTGTGCATGCCATGCTTCCCACAGTGCCGAGAGGACGGGGGACGGAGCCAAAGCCAGTCTCCTCCGTGCACCAAAGAAGATGGAACGGACCTGGAATTCTGTCTCCAGCCAGGGAAGCCCAGCTGTTTGGGGTCAAAGACAGATGCTTTCAGACTTGGGGTGGGAAGGCAAAAACATTGATACTTGGTAGAGCTGATGGTGTGTTTTTCATAAGGGAAGGTCATAGATGAGGTGCAGGTAGCCATTTTAAGGAAGCAGGTAAGAAGGTCGATTTCAAAGTCTGCCCGTGCTCTGTTAGAACTCGTGGACGAGGAGAGTGGAAAAGGCCTGAGCTGTCTGTCTGGCACCACACTGGCCTGGGTACACCTACCAGTCTTCTCTTAGGGTTTATAACTGCCTCTGTCATATTTTCTGTATTACAAGCTTCCAGAAAAGCTGAGGCTTCCTCTGTAGGGATGGGCCACCACATGAGCAATTTCAGTCTACAGCATGTGCATGGTCATTAGTGCATTCTAACTATTTACGCTGGAGGAATGGCATGTTCTGAAACTGCTTTTTTGGTCTTTGGGCAACAGGGCAAGAAAGACATGATGACAGCCATGTGAACGTAACTTTTTTAAAAGTGAACACTCAGTAGGCTTTGCCCCAGGGGATTCCAGCCAGGGGCTGTCTTCAGGTGAGGTAGGGGCTTCTCCCTGAGGCTGTGGGGCCTGAGAAGCCAGTGCCCTCAAAGAGGCAGGTGCAGAGTTTGTGGAGAGGTGCCTGTACACCTCACCCACAGAACTGTGGAATGGGACGGAAGGCCACAAAAGGCCACGGGTTTTTAGGCTGAGTGACCAGACATACTTAAAAGTCATCTCTGCACCTTGCTGGGCTCCTTCCCCTCCATTCTCCCCACAGGAGTGTGGGATTTTTTTTTTCTGACTTAAACCATTTTTACGCTCACTATGAATACTGGTTGTATTTTTTAAAACGTTGTTTAATGGGATTTTCTTTTTAAAACCCACACGTCTGTGTGCTGTTGGTAGACAGTTCTTCCCCGGTCATCTTTGTTTTCAAATATTGGGATATTTATGAGTGCAAATATTCTACATGTATGGGAGATGGGACCAACCACTCAACAGCTCCTCTCTCCGAAGACTAAATGCAGGGTTAGGCCTGCTACCCTGTGCTGGGGAAGTGACCTTATTTTTCCCAGGATCGATGGTTGTTGAAGAAATAGGGCTAACTCACGTTTACCTCCCTCTTCTCTTCTCAGGGAGAGCTCTGTTTTAAAAGAAGAAAGAGGAAAAATACAGAGTTATTGTTACCTGAGCCTATTGCGCCTGATGTTTTCTCCTAGAGGCATGAAGTATATTGATGCTGACATTGAAAAAATTGATCTGTCTAGCTGTTTTCCCCTCCTTCTTTGCACTTTAATTATCTTGTTAGAACTAACGGCTGACTAATAAATTCAGCTTGCTGGCTCATAAGGCCCAGTGGAAGCACTTGCGTTGATAATATACCATAGAGGTGGAGAATGTACATTTTTCCTGCATGGTAAGGGCCATCTCTGTACATAACTATATAGTGAAATACCAAGTAAGTAAAAGAAAATATTTATAATATTTGAAGACCATTCCAAAACTATTTTCAATAGGTCATATTAGCCAACAGTGTAGCACTAAACCCAAGGAGGGTTACTTATGAATGCTTTCTTTTTCTTTTTTTAAGAAGTTGCTTGTTCTCTTTAGTTTCAAGTAAGAGGTTGATGCATTTTAATGCATGATAAGAAGCATGGGTTGTTTGGATCCTAACGATGCATAACTCGCAATTTATTTCTCAGTGTTCACATACTGAGGGTTTGAACTAATATATGTCAACTTCACCAAGCACCTCAAGGTACTGCCGAAGAAAAGGAAAATAAAGCTTAACTTTCTTGGCTCAAAAACATAGTCTTGGAAGGTGGACTAAAACCAGGAAAAATCAGTGACAGGACCACACACATAGTAGTTTCAGGCAAAACAACATGTGGACAGGTCCATGCGCTCTGCTTTGAAGTCTGCAAAGTCTTCCAGAGGGGAAGAGGTCATTCGGTGTGTGGACCCTTATTTCTCTAACCCAAATATTCCCAGAGGCACTGCAGCCCTTCTTACTAAAGAAAAATGAGAGAGAGAGGAATTTCCAAATGCTCCTCCCCTTCTGGAGAGCCAGGGTTTCCTCAACTAGTGACAAAGCTGTGTCGCCTATTTCCTGCAGAATGTTGGAAGCGCCCCCGCAGTGGTCGGCTACGGCACCGTTAATTGCTATGGTGACCCTTAGCGTTTTCTTGAGTTACATGCCCCTCCTGCTACTAGAGTCTGAAACCTTGCTTTAACTGCAAAAAGAGAGAACTCGACCTCCAAGGGAGCTCCTTTTGATTTGCACCACTTCTGGACCATCTGGGATAAGAATGTGCATTTTTAAAAAGCTCAATTTGGTCACATTTAAAAAATTGCCAAGAGCAATTTGTAGTGCTTCTGATTGTTAAAGCACCCATCCTCTTCTGCCTTTCAAGTTTGTATTTATTGTTGGGGTGTGCACTCCCAGCTGTGTCTGCCCTTATTCCATTATATGAGACCCACTTCTAAGAGCAGAAGGCAGGCCAGCGCCTAACAACCAAATAGCAGACACTTGTTATTATTGCAAAATTAACCTAGAAAATCAGAAGTAAAAGCCAATTTCATGCTTTCAGATGAATGCCCATATTATGTACTGTCCATGAAATTATCTTGGGACTTTTAGGGGATGCCTTTGGTTATTAACATCCAGTTTTGCTGCAGGGACAAATCTCTTACTTAAGCCAACATATTATGTGACAGGTTTAGGCATGAAGTGGAGTGTTGTCACTTTTCCTTAGTGTTTCTCTGAAGGAATTTAAAGAGAGAATTTTAAACTACGGTTGCAATATTTCAAGTGGCTCTCCCACAAAGCCCCCATTAATGTTTGTTAGATTTCATACATCTTAAAGTACTGCTTAAAAACAAATGAAACTCATAGATACTGAATAACTTAGAAGAGAAAAAACTGTTACATTCCCATTTGGAGTATATGATGATGAGTTAGCACCTCTTCTCTCACTATACAAGACAAAACCTTGGGTCAGCAATGACTGGGCCACTTTTTAAATTCTTAACTAAAAAAGTAATGCAATAGAGGGGTTATTCCCCCCTCCAGAATAACTTTTATTTTAAAATAAAGGATTTTATTTAGCTTTTCTTTGCAAAGTTTGATTTTATTGCCCCTGAAAAAATAATCTTTCTCTTTGCTTTAAAGATTTTTTTTTAATCCAACCTGTGAAATTTATCATTTTTACTGCTATTGAAATAGGATATACTATATACGGGATATATATTACATGGTGGAATAAATTATATATTATTTATGGCTAAAGAATAGAGCCAGGCTAATGTCCACAGCCAGAAATAATACATGAACGTGGTTCATTTTCATTTCAGTAAGACAGCCGATTGTAAATGCAGATAATGACTTGATTACAGATGCCACTATGTGAATCCTGATACTAAGACTTGAGTCAATGAAATCTAATCACAGCATCATTTTTTTTTCCATGGCTGTGGGTGACTTAAAATCAAGACAGGGCAGAGCTGGAGTAGAAAACAACCATTTGGTTGTAGGTATAAACACAGAGATGACTGAGAAAATTATTCATCTTGGGCCACCACACAGCCTGACATTAACGTTAGGGTTGATTGTACTTGATCTCATCTGCCCAAGAAAGAGAAGCGTTCTCCTGGATGTTGAACCACTGTCTTTTGCACAGCCCATTTCGTTTTTTCCCTAGAAAGGTGGTTGTGGAAGAGCCGGCCGAGGTGCCCCGGCCCTGAGCCCAAGGCCCGGATGTCCATCTGCGAGCTGGGAAACCTGAGGCCAGTGCTAAAGCCTCCTTGAGCCGGTTCCCTCATCTGCAAAATGGAACTAATCTTGATTCCTGTGCTGCCTACCTCACAGGGCTGTCTTCAGGACAAAATGGGTTAGGTTGTAAACTGTAAAGTGCTGTCCCAATGTGAGGTAGTGTGATTACCATCCTAATCTCTCTTTGGCAGAGAATTATTTAAATGTATTTCTTTGTTGTGTGTGTGTGTGTGTGTGTGTGTGTGTGTGTGTGTGACAGACCTGTGTGTTACTTTGAGAAGTATAATGTTTGTGTCCAGTAACTTTGCAAATCTGACATTTGTGACTCTGACAGAGGGGTGGGTTTGTGCCATGGCCTAACACTTGCCAGGTGGGGTGTGGTTTATACCCATATGCAAATTAAATTTTGCCTTTTTTGGTTCTCGAAAATCTCATTAGTCTCTTCATTGATTCTTTTTGCGTTTTTCTACCTCGTCGTCTTTGTAACAATGGGCTTCCTCAGATATTCGTTTTACTTCTAAAGTTCAGGAGAAAATAAAGTTTGGAAGAAGCCTATGTTGCAGGCACTAAAATGTCAGAGAATTCGGGGGAACCTCAGAAAAAATATCAAGGGCCATCAAGCCCCACTGTCTTTCCAGTGCTTGAATCTTTCCTGTGACATCCCCAGCCCACATCTGACCACCTTTGAACACCCCCAGGCACACAGAAATCATTACTGCCCAAACAGCTCCGTTCATCTAATGGTAACTCAACACTTACGACCAGGCTGAGTGCATAGGGGACCTGGCCAGGCCATCACTCCGACCTCGGATGGGCTACTGAGCCGTCTGAGGCCAAGTCCTCACCTATGAAATAAGACGCGAATCTGTCCTTAGAATTACTGCAATGGCTACGTGGAATAATGTATATAAAAATACTCTAACTTTAGTCAAGTAGATGAGGTCATGCTAACATTCCGAGCTGAAGAGAGCATGATGCAGCTGTTGCACCCAAGTGAGAACTGAGGGAAGGAAGAATTTGGGTGTCTCCTATTTCCTTGGCTTCCCTTT